GTAAGTACGATAGCCGATTGACAATTTCTAATTCACCAAAATGTTAAGGATGAAAAAACTTACATTTACAACAAAAACAATTCAAAAATGTTATTTTTTGGTACCATAAACTTAAAAACAAGATTTTGACAATAATTTCCAAAAAAAATTTGATCGACTTTCTATTAAGTGTGCAATAACGTACATTTTGAAAAAAATTCACAAAAATTGCTTAGAAACTAAACTGAATTTATTCCAATACTTTATATTTTTATCTATTAGTTATAATTTCTTCAATATCCAGGCATGCCCGGTGGGGGGGGGGGGGGGCAGGTGGTGGAAATGCACCACCTGAGAATTTTAATAGTTTAGATTTTTCAAATTAAAAATAAAATATAAAAATTCCCTCCCTGTTAATTTATCATTTTTGTCTTTGATTATGCCCATTGCCCAATATAGTAAATACTTGTTCTAAGAAACCGTCGTCTGTAGAACTTTAGTATAGGGTACCGTGATGAAAGAACGGCAATATTACGCGTCTCTTAATACATTTATTTTGGTCACTAATGATATTAAATATATATAAATTATTATTTAAATAATAAATAATATTTATTAAATTATTATTTTGATTATTAAATACTAATAAGGGGCTTCGCTACGGCTATTATATGAGGGGCAACATTTAGGCAATTTTTAATCAATTACAGTTTAGAATAATATAAGTTTTAGTTTTTACAAAGTGTTCCGTACGATCTAGACAATTTTCCGGCTAGTTTGGGTTTTTCAGAATAAAAATCGGACAACGTAAACTAACTTTAATCTTATTAAAACGTACCTAAAGTATTTTGAGCTAAAATTGACGGCAGTAGCGAGGCCTCTGAACTGTGGTACATTATTATGGGTAGGTATATGTGTGATCCACTCATCAGTCATCATAATAGTATATTGGTGTATACTGTATAAAAATAAAATATTATGATAGTATAATAATATTATTTTACACTTATAAACCTAACACTGTGAATTGTTTATTGTATTGTTATACAATTATATTCATATTTTAATTGTATTGTAAAACAATTACATTTAATGCTGAAAATTGCAACTAAAATTTTAAAATAAGCTAGTTAAAAAAAGCTATGCCCTACATAAAATAAAAATACATTTCTTGTAACTCCAAAGCTCTACTTGGATATAATATAAAAATTAAACTAATGTAGATATCAATAAAATTAGTGCTAATTCATTAAATGGTATATTTTTCCAAACAATTAATTATTTTATAATACAATTAATAGGTAACCAATTTATATTAACCATTATATGTAGGGAAGGGTCTAATTATTAGGTAATCAGTATAAATTATGAATCCTTATATTTTTAAAAATTCATCATTAAGATATTATTAAATTAGGGTTATGGAATTAAGCCCTCCACAGCTTATATTGTCACTAAAACTATTTTGCACCTAGTGAGCTACTTATCTGTGGGCGTGCCTGCCCCCCACTAAATGGAAATATGTGCCACCCCTGGAAATATGGTGCACTTTCTCCCACTTATAGTTTAATGAATTAAAAAAGTACCTACGATTTCGCTAGAAAAAGTGCTCTCATAACAATAACTATACTAAATAATATAAAAAATGACTTAAAATCTTCATAGATATTACACTATCATAAAAAAACGTATTGAGTAATTTTATTATAGTATGTGTACCGATAAATTTAGAATGAGTTACAAAATGAAGGAATACATATAAAATTAATATTGAATAGGTACATTTAGTTACGGTTTGATGCAGTATTTGAGTATTTGTAGAATTGAAGAAAATAATGCTAATTATAATAAAATATATTTTTTTGCAATATTGGTGTTTGACGATTCAAACCTAGTTACAAGTCTTTCCTAACAATATTATTTTTTATGCCAAAAGTCAAAACAGTTTGATGAGATTGCGATACTCCATAAAAGTCTAAAATTGTTTTTATATATTTTTTGTAGCATATAATAAGCACCTATTTTATTATAATTATTTTTAAAAATCGGTGTAATATGGTAGTGCTCAGGTGAAATTCTTTGGATCACTTGCCAAATAATATAATCATAATTGTTGAGAAGTATGAAATTGAATTAGGCAGTGATATTTTTTATCCAAACGTTTATATAATATGATAGAAAATGAGTGATGTGCAGTTTAGTTAACATAATGACGTGTGTCAGATATTAATATAATTGTTGAAGGTTTGGTTACAATAAGTACCGTATAATCATATAATTTTTATCACAACAGGTACTTTGAGACTTTTAACGAAACATTATCAGTACTATATGTGCCATTTACATTTTTAATAATATTGCAAGCAATTTGAGTTAATTTAAGTTATAAATACTTATTATGTATGGTTAAAACCATGGTACATAATGTGGAACAAATGCGCATGACATAGTACACGCCCTACAAATAAAACGATCGCTTGACAGAATATTCAGTTGGATTTTCACACTAAGTGGCCGCTTTCAATGTGTGTTCAGTATGTGATGACACTCATCATGACTATATTTCCTCAATAAGCTCGAAAAACGCATTTAGTACCCTAAGTATGGTTATTTAGTATAATATATATGTCGTAGGCAGTATGGAAAATTTTTTTCGAAAAGACTAGGCTCTTTGCCCGTTTGCGAACTACCTACTTACTTATTATTTTTCGAAACGGCCTGCTGTTTTTCAGGCTTATTGCATACGGACTAACAGCATTTAGGTCTTTTGAGAATCGTTATAATGTAGTTTGGCTACCCCATTGCAAAGAGCCTAGTCTTTTCTCAAAAAGACTAATTTTCCATACGGCCTATGACATATTATACACAAAGCAATATTATGCATTATACAATTTTTGAACTGAATCAGTTATTTCACTATGGGCCCAGTCCCAAGGATTCTCCTTCTATATTATACGCCACTGTTGCTTTTATATAATACATTTTGAAGGCTTAAAGTAAGTTTAAAATTAATTTGAACTCTGATGTACGTCGTACCTACATAGTAAATATTATATAAGAATTATTGACGGGAACGCTAGGAGCTGAATAGGCACTATAGGTACGTAAATAATGAGTACATAATATAATACCACGGTTAATAACCATTAATTAATATTTATTTATTCGTTTCCTCTTTGAAAGACCACAACAATTAAATTAAATAAATAGTACAATAAATTATACACTGTTGATTGTATACAATGATTCGATAAAATACCGATAAAATAATACATTTAATAGAAATAGTTTAAATGAAACGAAAAATAACTATTTTTTTACAAACATATTTAGTTACATATACTTATTGTATAGATGTACTGATGTACAATTAGTTAGCCAGTAAATTAACTAAAAACGAAAAAAAAAAATTACAATAACTTTTTCCTTTAACTTTCGAGCCCAAAACAACAACGAACATTCTAAACACATAATAACTTAGACCTATACTAAAAATTTATCATAATAATAATATATTAAGAATGTACTAAAATATTTTAAATATTTTTTTTTCTATTAAATAATTTAAGATAATTATATTCATTAAATATAATTTTAATTTTAAATCTCGTATAACTCTTATCTAAAATAACTATAACAATTTCTTTTAGCGTTATTTCCTTTAATTATTATCATTACCCTTTGGTGGGCGCACAATGTTTAGCCGGAAAAATTCGAACGTGGGGGAAATGATGGAATGTACCGGCAACGCTTGGGACCGGATGAAAAAAAAGGGCATTTTGGGGGAGGGATAGAGGGAGTGATGTAAAATTGCTCCCTTCAAAGTAAATAAACATAACAAAAATCAATACTGGCAACAAATAACATTAAAAAAAACCCTCAAGTAGCGCAATAAAAAGGCGCAGAGTAAACCTTTTTATACTATACCACTACCTAATCACTAACATCTCAAATATACATTTTTATACGAATTATATATAATATAAAAGCGACGCGTATTTGTTTATATATATATTTATTTTTTTATCTAACGCTTCAAAAACATGCATGAAGACTAGCGCCTGTATAAACACTTTTGTGAACCAATGGCATCTTCGATATAATTTTAAATCATTGATTTAATCATAAGGTAATAAATATTAAATATATATGTGTATTCATTTACATTCACTTAAGATAAATATTTAACAGCAATAATATAGCTATTCACTACCATTTGAAGTTTGGATTTTTATTTGGGAAGGGAAGACTGGAACTAAATATTAGTTTACAATATGTAAAATGTAAGTCAAAGAATTTGAGCATCGACTTGATAATGTTTTTCTTTGTATTTTTTTTTTTTTTTTTTTTTTTTTTTAATATTCACAAAATTATAATAACAGGATATAAAAATACAAAGGGGAAAATATTCTTATTTGGCACTATAATTATTATATATTAATAACATGATGAGTTTAAAATAAAATTTTTTTTTTTCAAGTACCAAATTCGCGTCTCAAATGAGTGTTTTAAAATTGTATTACGTATATGTTTTTACTGGTTAAAAATGTACACTATATTTTATATACACACAGACACTCACACACACATACACATACATTTGAAACTATTTTGACCACGTTTTGTGTTAATTGACGAACTTTGGTTTTTAGTTTTCAAAAGCTTAGAGACTAAAAAAAGTTGTAATGTTTCGTACTGAGCATTTTGATTCTAGCGTGAATTTGATTGGCACATTTTATTGTTTGAATTTTTATTATTGTCCAAGACATGATGATTATTGCTTATTTAAATGCTATAGAATTCATCGAGGAAGAACTTTTGCATAGTAGTATTTTTAGAGATACGCACACATACAGACGTATATTTGTATGTGTTTATATATTATTATTTATATTTTATTTATGTATAGGTACTGCTTGGACATTTTTTTAGAGTAAAAATCCTGAAAACACAGTTTATTTTTTGATTGTACGAGCTCCGTTTAAAATTGAGCTTCATTTTTAATGTGGTCTTGCGTTTACTTAGCATTGTCTATGTAATTGAATTGGCGTTGCGACCGTCTTGAGTTGCATCATTTGACCGTAGTCGACATTTTGGTCCAATTTTGGTTTCTTTGGTTCAGCGTCAGGAGGTCGGTGCGATTTCATATGGGCACTTCGACTCTTCACTTTGGTAAATATCCTAAAATTAAAATATAATTGTACTGTTATTTAGCCGTAGGTAGTTGGTATACCACAAATCAAATGAATTGTAGTTGAAATCACGTACTTTCCACAGATCTTGCAAGGAAATTCTTCATAATTCGGATCAATATGTGTTGGTGTCAGGGTTTGCCTTCGATCTGGTGTTCCGTTAGTGTGTAGCCTCATATGAGCTGCTAATCCTATTTTATTACTGAATGTCTAAAAATGATCACAATGAATAGGTTTTTATTATTTATTGTAAGTTGACATTTTACAGGAATACGAATGAGGAGGGAAAAGGATCCAACTCACCGACAAACAGTCTGAGAATTCGCAAACGAAAGTTTGTTGGTCCTCCGAACTGTCGTTAGCCTAGAGAGGAAAAAATAAATAAAAAAATAAACGAAAAATATTTAACACAAGAACGTGAGTGTTTTTTTTTTTTTATTAAGATGGGAATAAAGATGGCAATAGGGATACTATCAAGTATCAAGTATGGACACTTATAATGTACTTACAGGAATGTCTAATTTCGGATTAACCATTGCATCTTCATTCCTCGACTTTCGTCTTTGGAATTGAAACTGTTTATAATCTTCCGGGCAAACTTTTTTCCACAAATAATAAAACTGTATGCATTGTTTCATAGTCTTCGTACCCAACTATAAAAAAATAAACTAAAAGTTATTAAGTCTTTAATTAAAAGTGGTTGAGTTAGGTTAATTTACCTCTTTCGAAATAAATGCAAAATCCTTGTCATATTTGAATATAGCTTTGTGAAACATCGATACTTCATTTGGTGTCCAGTGATCAGATTCCGTGTATTCAAATTTCATCAAAGGATGTCCTTGTGGGAGATACGGCGTTGGTTGCATCAACTTTAACATTGCTTCCTGATGACCAAATAATTTGTTAAAAAATGTTTATTTAAAAAAAATGACTCGAACGTACTTGAACGTTTCCTTTGCAGAGATGTAGCAAATGTAAAGCATATTCTTTGTTTCTTCCACCACCTGGTACTGCAGCACAGCATGCAAAGTCCATGTACATTTCGACTAGAACAATTTAAGATTAATATAAAACACTATTATATAAATTAGCTTAACTTTTATTTATATTCACCTTCTCGATCAGAAACTGAACTTGTAATACAAGGGTCCCATAATAAATAATCAGTAGACGGCTCTCGAATCGGTCTGGTTTTGCTTAATGGTGGTATTATAGCTTGGAAATTTGGACCAAGATTAATGTGCGGTAGTACATCACATTCTGGTGGTGAATCTAGTCCTACACAATCTTCAACAATAATTTCTGAAATATAAAAACCATTAATAATTAAAATTGCCTTAAAATGTTTTTATACAGTAAAAATTGTATAACAAGAACTTCGTATAACAAGCTCCCTAAGCTCAATGAACCTATTAGTGATTATAATATAACTTCACATAATGCAAACAAATATTTTGGGTGCCCAAAGTTTTAATTCGAAGAAGCTCTTCTGAATTTAGTAATAAATTAAATTAATTGCCTTTGACAGTCGAAGAGCTTGGCCACGAAGTCACTGCTTGCCAATAAAGACCTCTTCCATTTCTAGAAGGACTCAACATAGGTTTCGGAGTAAATTGCAAAGTTGGTTCATTTAACATCCCGAGTCTATGACTGCGTAATCTGGATCGGAACGGTTTGTACGTAATAGTTTCTCCAAAACAGCGTTTTCTGTTTAATCGATGTGTAATATTTGGTGGAATACTAAAAATATATAATAACAAGTGTTTATATAAGTATTGTTCAAAATATTTGCACGAAAAAAAGAATCAAATTTCACCTTGATGGATTAAGGAAAATGTCATCTAAATCTTCAAAGTTTTGGTTATTGTCTGGTTTTTGTTGTTTGATAACTGGTATATGTTTTTCGATCAACTGGGCTTCTGTTTGGACGAACATGGTTCCAGGATTTTGGTAACTGGCTTGGACTAATTTCAAATCTCCATTTTTGTCGATTAAAAACTGACTGCCATCAATTACTTGGGCCATGGTTCCATTGACCCCGTATAAGCGACATGTTTGGTAATCGAATTTCTTCCTAAATTCTTTAGGGTTGCTGGATAATAACGGGTCTTCTGAATTTGGCATCATTACCTAAATCGTATTTAATATTATTAGAATTATGTTTTATTTAAAAATTTTATTTTCAAATGTAGACCTGTAGCGTGTGTTGATGGTGGTTAGGTAATGGTGACTGTGCAGCGGATGAATTATGTATTGACATCGGCGATGATACTGGTGTATTGGCTGATAAAGGCGAATCTGTAGAAGACTCGAAATTTGGCAACACTTCACTTAAAGCTGCTTCAACAGCTTCTGAACTTGACATGTCAGATGAATAAAAAAAGTCCCCAAGATGACCATTTGACATAACCGAATGAAAATTTAGCGAAGGAGATTGACCCTCTTGACTAGCCGGTGGAGTAGGGTAGGTAAAACTTGGAGATGGAAGAGGTGATCTACCTAGATCTGTAAACATGGTTTGCCCTGAACTATATGCTAGATCAGCCAAGCTGGCCGAGAGTGGAGAATTTAACACGGCTTGGAAGTCTTCGTTGTTTTGAAGATCGGTCATACCGTCATAATCATCTAAACATGACATGTCTTGCATATCCGTAGCCTAATAATAATAAAAATAAAACATTTCAAAATCAATTTTCAATTAATGATAGTCTAATTTATACAAAGCATATTTTAAAATAGCATTAACATTTATTAGATTTTAGACGAGTTTGAAGAAATATGTTTATATACAGTTGAGAATATTTTTGTTTCAATCATATCAATATATTGAGTTTATTATTTCTATACGTCGTCGTTGGTCATAGGATTTTATTTTAAAGTGTTCTATTGATCATATATTGCATCGATACGCACAGTGAATTGAACGAAAAACAAATAATAAACAGAAATAAATACATATATAGGTAAAGGACACAAATCTAAATGGATTCTCCGTATGTATTTAATGCACTGAGTAAATTTATATGTGCAATTGCAACCCAGTAGTTTACTATAGCCTTTGGCCCAATAGAATCGACCATCAAACACAAAGTTCGTTTTATACTTATCTGTGTATATAGTCATATAAAGTTTTACAATTTACGTACCGGAGTACACACGGTTCAGGAGCGGAAGAAATCTCGTTTATTTATTACTAACGAGCGCAGACGAAAGGGGAATCCGCCGTAGTACTAAAACTTTATCGACCTACTGAATTCGTCCAAACTTCAAAGGATTATTTTCACAAAATTGTTTGTTTGGAGATAATGTACATTTTGACTATAGTGTAAGTTCAATTTATTTCAAATAATTTATATGCATATTGTATACATTTAAATATTAATTAGTATTAATAATAACTAGAATTATGATCACATCGGCATTTTTGAATAAGTTATGGATGACTATCTATAATTATTAATATTGGCATGACCGTAGCTTTTCAATATAATATGTAATCAACAAATACAAATATAGTCGATAATTACTATAATTAATCGTTTATTATAGTATACCATCACGTAATTATTTTTCAATGAGGTTGGCAGGCTGCATAAAAAACAAATTTCAAACATTCGGAAGAACTGTCTTATTCAACTTGAAAATGGAAAAATATATTATAATATATTATGCAATATATTCACTTAAGTTTAACTAGAATCTGTTTCTAGATAGGTATTTCACATATTTATATTTTTTTAAAGTCTGATCAAATTTTTGGTTTGTTGTCTGTGTGTTCTGAAGCGAAGGGCAAAGACTGATTAACGCCGCCGGGCGAATAACAATCACGCGACCCCTAAATATTCTGATGGCCTACTCCCAGTCCAGTGGACCAATCTTTGAGAAAGCACATTTTAGAAGGGGTTTTGTGTACTGATAAAAGCTCGTCGGTGTTCTGATGATTAATGCAAACGGCGTTTCGGGAATATTTTGATTAATCGACAGCGATTGGCCCCTTTCAGTTTAATCCATACGCTTAAAAATGTATATATAAGCTTCTGGTTTAACTACGAATAGTTAAATACAATTTCCAAAAAAAATTAAATTTAATGAGTTACAATTTTAAAAATGTACTATAAAAACGTCGATAACACCGTGGTGGTCATAGTTGATTCTGCATGAAACACATAATTCGTGGAATATAACATTAATTAATTTGAAACATGCTGCTTTGTCTGAAAATTATTTGTTTGGTAACAAATGATTAAAAAACTATAGTAGGTATGTTTTATAAATTAATATAGAAATCGCTATCGACCGGAACGGATCGAGGAATACGTATAGATATTTTCAAAATTCCTAGTGCTTCGTTCATGGTGGTTATGGAGTATCAACCGATTTACTCGTCCGGAAAATCGTGGCTTAATAGGTTACTGCATCTATACACCAACCTACTGGTACTCATTATTGGGAGCTAATAAAACTACTGCGGACTATAATAATAATAATAATAATAATAATAATAATAATAATAATAATAATAATAATAATAATATAATACTATTTAGGTAATATTATAATAGCTCCATGATGGCGGGTCCGTTTTACCTGTATCGTGTTGGCCAGCTGCACCGAGTCGACGGCCTGCAAGAGCATGGTTTCGGCTTGTACGTTGGGAAATATATCGTCGTTGAGTCCCGGCGAATAATAGTCCCGGTTATCGGTTTCCTTTTCGCCGCCGCCGTTTCCGTGATTCAGTGTGTACGGTGAACCGGAGTAATTAATATCTATTTGCGGGCTGGTGCTGCTGCAACGAAAACCCATTACGGGTCAGAGATTAATAGACCGACCGTTGTTGAATCGACAAGCGCACACGCACACACACTCTCGTGTATATTATGATGATGCGAGTAGAGAGTAAAGACTTAGGACCGAACCTCCCCGAGCGAGGAGGTTGTTGCGCATTTCTGATGTCTGTGTTTGCTGTGGGGAAGACTCGCGCGGGTGTCTGCGGCGATTATTATATTATTAAACAGGTCGTCGTAAGTGGGTACACCCACTTGACGTCAATTTTTCAACTTCTATAACCGACTGTTATTATACGATAACGTTTCTGACAGCGGTACGGGCCCAGGGACGCATTGAATTATACACTCGGTTGAAATAGATTCGGAGCCGAGTCGTTGGTTTTACAACGACGTGCTTTATATGCAGCATCCCTCGACATTTCAAATTAAATGAATTTCACGGAAAGCAGTTTTTTGAAATGTTCAATGGTTTTCAAAAATATCATGAAATGTTTAAAACATTAGTCATCAGCCAGGAAAGCAACTGGCTAACACCCACTTACAACAAAATTCTAGACCTTTTTCGGGGTGAAAAAAGCTACTGCATAAGAATCAATCTAAGATAGTTTTTCCGTTCAAATTTAAATCAATATAATATCTCAGTGTGCTGCATAATATTGTCCTTAATTTATACTGATATTAGAAACAATAAATAATATTGTACTCAAAAAATAATAACAATTTTAAATTTAACACGAAATACATAAATTACAAATTTCTGTGTACAAGTATTTTATCGAATTTAAATTCATTTCAAGAAACAGAGTTGAGTTAAGTTTTACATTTAAAATCATAATGAATTATTTATAGACAATTTATCGGAGTTGTATAAGAATAGATAAAGTAGTGGGAGCAATTTTTTTCTTAGTAATAACAAGTTAATTTTAATCCCCCGAGGAAGTTGATCATTATTTGACGAAGTTTTTGTTTGGAATCAACTTTATAGCTTGTACTTAATACACCATATTTTTATTTCAAATATTGTTCGTCATCAAGTAAAACTTTGTGCTGATGAAGTGAAATTTATGATGATAAATTTAAAAACTACTATTTTATTACTTCTGACGTTAGTAAACAATGACGTGTAGGTATTTCATGAGGTTTTAAGGTAAAGTGTAGGTGACACTTTATGGAAGTATCCCATAAAAATATGTAACTACCAGACTACCTATATATGCATATTCGAGTAAAGTTTGTGGGTAGACACTATATTAATTAATGATGATGTACTAATGTATTATTGAATTTTTCACTGTATATGCTGTTCTTTAAGTTATTAACATGATGGTAGGTTCATTATGAAATTAATAATTATATTATGCTTATATTATATTATATTGTGTTAAATCGTATAAGATTCAAAATAAAAATGTAATTTACATTTTTTGTTTTAAATTAAAAAAAAATCTAACTGTCCATCGATTAGTATTATGTACCACCGGATCATTTGCTATAAATATTCAAAGAAAGCAGGAAGGTATTTTTTTATGTAAAGTGGTTTAGAAAATAAAAGTTTCCGATTGAAAACATAAAAGTTTTTATTGGCGTGTCAGACAAGGCCTTGTCAATTATGTATGAAAGGATGTATGCATCGGTGGTTTAAATAGTTAAGTCGAAAGCCTCCGAATCGGAGGGACGGGAGAAATCCCGAAACGCCGTATTTTAAACCGACAATCGCCCGCCACACCGACATTGCCAATTTGATCGTGCCGCTAGACGTGGACAAACGCCGTCGTATTCAATTTAAGAAAACGCCCAAATACAAATTCCGAAAGCCCACAGAGTTTATGGGATTTTATTCTCGTCTCTCTCTATATTACTCTTCCTCTCCCCTCTACATCTGTCTATCTGTCAGTCGGTCTGTCGCCCTCTCTCTCTTCTCGCTCTGTTCACGTGTCACTGTTTCAAGCGTGTTCAGAGGAGGAGTACACGGACGCTCGTATCGTTTTCCGGATTTGTCGCCGAGACCGATATCACCAACAACGTGGCAACCGTCTATCTGAAACTCACCTGTGACTGAACTGATATCCCGGATCCGAGCACGCCCTCTTCACTCCGGTCTTTTTGAGTATTACGTCAGTGTACACAACGGCAGTGGAGTCTGCCAAGCCCACCGTCGTGTCCACCACCGAAGCGGTGTTTGGAACCGCTGGCACCGCGAACGACGTACCGCTAGTGGTCATCACCGCGTGCACCGCCGTGCTTCTGCTCACCACTTGCTGCACCACGGTTTCCTTCTCGCGGCTCAAGTCTGAAAAACCAACAGATCCTCGGTTAAACATCTGAAACTCACCTCGACGCTGAAATATCGTCCGATCGTCGAGAACACAAACACGTCTTCGGGAATAATATGCAAAAGTGAATTCGGGTTCGCAACTGGTGTTCGATATACATTATGATATTGGGTATACTATGTGCTCAAAACCTCAAATTGCAGTCATAATCATAATAATAATAATAATAATAATAAAACATTTACTTGGCAAAAAATATAATTATAAGTGTGTCCTAACATCACACAGCGAAATGCGACTTGAAAGTGAGGCATGTTAGGCTATAACTTATAACGGTAATATTATTACTGTTATTGGAACAGAAATGTATCATCAGTATATTCAATCGGAAATATTATAATATTTAAAGCCTAAAAATGTTATGAATGCTAGAAATGTGTCAACACGCACAACGTATTTGTATGGTGTTGTTCGCTTTTGTTTTAGTACGCACAATGAAGAAATTATAGCAAAAACTGTATTACTTCAACCTTAAACTTGGATATATTAGTAATATTTTTTAATAATCTTTATTATGCGAAAAATAATTCAAATAATTATAAAATGTATGATTATTCGGATAGAAAACAAAACAAATAAGTGTAATAATTTATGTATTACATTTTTCGATATTTTTCAAAAGAGTTTATCATATGATATATTAATAAATGATATGGTATTTGTATTTAGTTAGACATAATATAAGTGTAGACAAATAATAGGTACATTTTTTAATGGTATAAATACATTTTTTAAGGACGTTTGTATAAACCGAGCGCTCGTCATTTTTATATTCGATTTAAACATCACTATATTTAATAATTTTGTTTGTAATACGAATAAAAGAAAACAATTCGATCCAAGACAGTTTTAAGATCGGTTCATATAATCTAATTATTATAGTCTTGTTTGTCTTGTTTCTTTATTACTTATTTTTTTGTAAAGACATCGCTGTTAAGCTTTTAAGTCAATATTACAACTCGAGAGGCAATTTACGATTTAAGTATTTATTTTCAATCTTTTCCAAACTTTTTTATTGAATATTATTTCATTGTGTGTTTCAGTATTAAACATTTTTTTAATCTATTTAGTTGTTTACTTGAAAAAGATCTTCGGGACGACTAAAACAAATGCTGATGAAAAAAGTTGGAACAGACTTGAGAAATATACCTATATGGTGCATGCCTATGAGGGCAGTAGATAAAAATAACTTAAGTTAAAAAAGGGTAGAGGTAACTGTGTGTCATAGAACTTAAATGGACCATAAAAGCCACTTTTGGCGATAATGATGATGAATTGATCAAAATACAATAAATATTACGTTTACGTTGAACATTGGATCTAGGTATCTTTATAATATATTTACAATAATATAAAACTAAGTAACACGTCATATAATTCAGAATAAAATATGTATACTATGTACGATTACTATATTCTTTTACAAGTTAAATATAACAAAACAGGTTAATTTGTTTCACCTATTTACCTAAGTAATAATGACCTGCTTAGAATTTCTGAAAATTTAAACGACAATTATATTGAAAACTGAACAAGTACCTAACTAAGGTTTTTGCTTTTGTTTAACAATTAAGTGTTTGCTGTTGTTTTAGCATTTTAAGTATTTATAACAGTGTATACTTTAATAGAACAATAAAACTGTAAGTATTCTTGTACATTTATTTTCTCAAATACGTTTGCTCAAATCATTAAAAATGAAAAAAATATTATATGTTTGCTTAATAATCACATTTTTTTAATGACAATTTATTCTTGTCCATTATTTTTACTCAGTATGCTTTGAATGGTGAATAAAACACTGTACTGTTGTAGATATAGCCAATTGAATCAGACCGTTATAATGGAAGAATGCATGTTATTACGTTTTTAAATTTAGATTAACGCTTGAAAAACAAATAATGTGATTGGAAATGTTTAATTCCAATGTTTGTATAAAATATATGTCATGTTTGACACAAACAAAACTTGTAAAAAAAGTAAAAAAAGTTGAAAATGTTTGATTAAAATCCAATTAATTAAATTTTAAAAAGTTTTGAAAGTTTATTTTTTAAATTTTTTTTTCATGTAATTTGAGACTATTTCTATAAATTTCTGTCGAGTTAATTAAAACTGAACTATCAAGCATTTAAATATTTGATTATGATTTTCAGTGCATGGTGATATTACACTGTATAATCAATAGTTAAATGAATTATGGTAATTTCAATTAAAAACTGATAATATAATTTTACAAGCATATTAATGTATATTATACCTACACTTAAAAAATTAATTTTGCTGTATATTAAACTATGAGTATAAATATTTAAATAGTTTTTCTCACTTGAATATGTTAGTCCATTTTGAGTTGAACAATTTGGTTTCGTGGTCCTTTTTTGTATGATTTTTTCTTCGATCAGAGCCCTGACACTCATGCTGGCAGTCTGCAGAGGTGGACCCGATGCTTCTTTTTTTTCCCATTTTTTTGAATCAGTTTCCTGGAAACGGATTTTAAAATTAATAAAAACATTTTGGTTTAAGATAATTTTATTTACACAAATCCCTTCACCCGTGATTTATATTTACATTCGTGGTTTGATACGAACAGTAGAAAATTCCAGAGAAATGTTCTAGGATTTTCTGTGGCCGTTTATAACATGGGACAAAGGGGGAAGGAAACGCATAGTATTGAAAAAAAATAGTTGAACATTTTCAGGAAGGGGCAGGGAAAAATCTGGTTGTATTTGATAATGCAAGACCGAACAATAAATACGAAAAAAACCACTGAACGTCAAAAAATACATGATTCAGCTTTTATGGTTGTTATTTTCAATGAGTTTTTTTTTTCAAAACTTAATTTGATATTTTTTACGCTTAATAACATCATTCAGAGAATTTGAAACCCCTGAGGTGAAAAAAATGGTTTTTGATCAGCAAACAATATTATTATAGTATAATTAATTTTTAGCCATGATAATTAGAAGCATTTTACCGTAATCGAAAACTAATTTCAAAATAGTCCAATTAAAGAGTATATAGTTTATAATAGTGTATAAAATGACATGTTCCTAATGGTATCCTAAACCCTTTAATTGATCCAACCGAATATCGGGACCTTTGGAAAATAACATAGGTAAGTTAATTTATTTTCACTTTCCAACTTAGAAATTTACAAAGTTATTAAATTTTATGTTAACTCTTGGATATTATTATATGTGATTTTCAAATTTTACAATTTCAGGTGTGTTTTTATACTTTATAGTAACATAATATTATCTATTATTTTATTTAGGGTATAATATAATTATCCAAGTAAAGCCGGGTGGTTTTTAAGATAGTTAAAGGTATTGAATATGTAAATTATTGGTAAATAGAAATATTCTGAAAACATGACTATAATCTTTTATACTGGAATTTAATAATATTTATATCTAATATTCATGGAATTTTACCTTAAACAAGCAGTGTTAAAAACATTTAATGCATGGGTAATGAATATTTTGTACAAATAAAATAATTAAAATTAATGTGAATAACCTACATGTAGACGTAATTTTTGATCACGATAAATAATAATAATATTAATTTAAAAATGATTCTGACTGAATAATATAAAAATATATTGTTGCGGTTTTATTTTTCATAAACTGCATAATATAACTATTATACCTATACATTTAAATACTAGATTAAACATTTAAATAGTTTTTAATCGTATTATAATATTTTATATTATGTTATTATTTAATATTGAGCATTGAACCCATGGTTTTTCATATTTTTATATTATCATGCTCTTAATATTTTATCTAATTTGATTCCAAATCGTTCACACTTCGAAATAAGAATAATAGTTTCTATATAAATGTGTAATATTGTATATATATTTATATTGATTTGTATTGAGACTTTTTTACTAAATGCACACACTCAACCCGTTGGTTTTCACTTTTGTTGTTTTTTTTTTTTATAATCACAATCACGATATTAATCGTGGTGTGTTCGAGCATGTGGTGGAGTTGTGGGTCTGTTTTCTTGTGTAATGGAAATTTCAGAGTACCCTAGGAAAATCCAGTGAAGTTTTTCTCTGGTTCTCCTGCCCACAACCCGACACCTTTTTGGAGATCGAAATAGTTCATTGCGGTTTTTGCATCCGCTAAACCCCTATAGTAATCAACATGATAAATCAGTTGACCGGGATGGAGTAAGGCAAAGTAATGGCAAAACATTTTGGGACTTCTTGCCGATACAAGGCAGCAGCAGGAGGGATGTGTGGGGCATTTCTGTAATTAATATTAGGGGAGGAAAAGGCTGGCAGATATTAAACTATGTACTCCTATACAAATACTCGTACACACCCACATCCATCCACCCACCCATCCACCACGCACATACACACAGACAAACACTCGCTGCATATGGTTTTATAATATAGCGGTCTGTCGGGATTAAATAATGATTTGTTTTACAGGGGCGTGTTTGATAGAATGGCATAATATGCAGATTTAGAGGGTATACATAGAATATTGATATGGTTTCCAATGAACTTTTTATCACAAAGATAATAATGACTAACAATAATTGAAAAAAAAAACCTTATATTTTATCAATCCCCTAACGCAATCCGAGGAATAATGTAATAAAATCCGAATTATCCGCCATAAAAATAATATTGACTACCTACCTACTATTATTAGCAAATTATTACACTGTACATAGGTATATAATATACATTTAATTTATGGTATTGTTAAAAATCAGGCAGTCATGCATAATGCATTATACTTATATTTTATGTTCGGAAGTATAATTTATTTAGGTCCGCTTTCTATTAATATGTAACATCTAATGTAAATTTCAATTTTTAATGTTTTAACATAATGCCCGAAGATCGATGGCATATTTTAGTATAATTTAGTGTGTGGCGTTTGGAAATTGAACAAATTACAGTTCCTTTAAAGTTAAATTAAGTATCTTTAACCCTTAATGTGCCTTACGGTGTAAATAATCTAAAGTTAAGCTATTTTATATCACGTGAAAGTTTTAATATTTCAAAAGGTGTAAGTATATTAGTTTTATAATAATAATAAAATGTATTATATTTAATCATATATACTGTTGGATGCCTAGTTAAAATGTAGTATACATTATGAACAGTATGTTCAGTCGGAGTAGTATTTTAAACACCATTAAAATTAAAATTAAAAGTGTATTATTTTAAACAGAGCAACATTTGGGACTCGAGTGGTATACCGAAAACTATTTCATAGAACTAACAATACAATTTAAAATGTAGATATCTCGTTTATATTATATTTGCTATATAAACCGTACTTTATTATAATTTAACATGAAATCAATCCATTATTCATATTAACTCAATTATAATATTGAACACAATTAGTATTTACGATTGTCTGTAAGTTATATTCAATTCATATTAGTTTTCTTATAGCTTAAACTAATATTATTTTATGTTATAGATTTTATTTATTTTTTTTTTGTACACAAAAACTACAACGCTGTCAGAAATACCAGTTGACGATTTAAATATCTCTATTCCTAAATTGCGTTTACAATAAAGTGTAATTTTTTTACTGTTTCCAAACAAGAACACAGACCTACTCCCTAGCTATATTTACTATTCTTAATAATTATACCGTGTACACCATAATACAGAATAGTCGTAAAAGAATCCTATTGATCACAAAGTTTGGCAATCTGGCTTTAATTTCCAACTCGTAAATTTTTAACATTTCCCACAAACACTGAGTGTAAATTATTAAATAAAAAAATCAAACATTTTTAAATTAGTAAAATGGTTAATAGCAGTAGTACCTAACACAAATCCTTTGGAAACAACTTGAAGACGAAGTCGAGTTTGTATACGCACAAAGTCATAACCCAAGAATTATAATAATATTATATTATAAATCAATGAAAATGGCCCACGGTATGTTCAATATATTTTATTCTAATTAATCGTGTTTATGAATGTATTATTTTAATAATTGATATTTGGTGTGAAGACGAATATTATTTAACTACCGGGTTTTGTTTTAATCATATAACGAGGTAAAGTCAGTTGATAACACATATTTTTCTTGACATTTAGATATGACGCAGAAATGTTCAGCATTTATAACTCTGTAGTCTGTACTACTTCTGATTTATGCAATATATCAAATGTAAATATGAAAATCATTTTGTGGTGGATATTATGTATTATAATACAGGGTTGACGGTGAAAAAAATTCTTTTAGTCTTTATACATGAATAAAAGACAAAGATTTCTGTATGACCCTAGGCGTCTTCGGGACACAGTACACATTACGAAATTAAAAAACGATAGCAATCTCACTCTATTTATTTAATTTTTTTTTCAAAAATGAAAATGTTTCTAAAATAGTAAACATCATTTATTTTGTAATTTAATTTAAAACATATAACATACATTTATTTTCTTATTGCAGTTTGTAACTTTTTTTGAGAACGCATTTTTCTAATTTAATGAAAAGCAAAAAAAGAAAAAGTAATATGACGGCAATATCTCCTTTTTAGTCCTTAGCTACGACATAATTTATTAAATAAAACCGTCTGCCTTAGAGGTGAATAATTGTCATGAAAAAAAAAAATATATATATATAATAATAATAATAATAATAATAAAAAGGGATGGCAAACTCCCGCTTTTAATGCAGTATAGTCGGAAACGAGATCAAAGAAGAAAAAGGTTATTTTCCTTCAAAAACCTAAGAAACGACGTTCGTAAACACAAAGTGATTTGTTCGTCGTGTACGTCAGTGTAAATACGAAAGTTTGATTGAGTGTTCAATGTAAATATCCGTTTCTTTGTAAAACATTTCCGGCCGTCGTGGAAAATATTCAAATTGGTTTTCAGTTACTCGTTACGTCTCTGCAGGAAACCTCTGTGTTATGTTTCCTCAATTTTATATATGTATATATATTTATTGGCGAAGTGTATTGGGACAGGTACAGACTTGGAGTACGCTTGTTACACGGTATTGCACGTCATCCGTCCATATACTGCAGGTACTATTATCTAAATAGTCATACTACCATAATATATTGTGTATTACCTCTATACATTATTATGTATACAAGACGTGCACTTATATATGTAAATGTGCGCAGACACGACCCGACTCGTAAAAGGGTTGTTTGTGATAATAGTTTTTGATGTTAATTGATTTAACTTGGAGTGTATGTGCATCATCATAGTCGCTCGATTTTTCTGTAATACGCCAATGGACGAAACCAATTATTATAACTAAACGGAGTGATGCGGACTAGACACTCAGTTTTGCCGTATTGGTTTATGTAGATTTTGCGATTTTGAGCCATCATATTATTATTGTGTCCGAAATTCGTTTGTGAACATTTAAAAAAATAGCAAGATGTTAAGGAGTTTTTAGTAACAATAAGAGCATTATGTTATTAAGAACTCATGATTTTTTGAAAAACCAAAAATAAGGTTTAATATTTCAATTCTTTATTCATATCTGGAATTTTAGATATTAAAATATCTTACAAATGGTATAATAATTAAATAATATTGTCCATTTATTAATATAAATCATTCTTTAAAATAAATGGTATAAAATATGTATTAATATTAAATAATATTATATTCGTGTCAACTTCACATGTTTTCCACTTCCACTATTGTTCGAATAGTCAAACGTTGAAGTTGTATGATAGAATTGAAGGAATTAAGTAATAATACGATTCTCGTGGGTAATTTAATGCAAGTTTAAAGCATTGAAAGTTGTTAAATAATCAACTGATAATTTGATCAGTTTATTATGTATGGCTTTTCATATGAAAAATGTCTGCTAAATATAAAGCACGCATATGGGGAATACAAAAAATAATAATATTAATATATCTATAGATATTGTGTTTAACGTACACGTTCACATTGTTATAAAAAACAATGGTAACAATTTATAATATTCACATTTTGGCAAATTAAAAATATTGATCCGGAAAGAATTTAACTGACTAATGTCAAACAGTTATTATAATTATAGTTATTTTAACGTGTTTTTTTTTCAATATAGTATAATATTATCATGTACCTATACATTTTGCCTGGCATTTTATTGATAAATGTAAGTACTTACCTGTTTAGTATAAATGCAGAAAAACCAGAGTAAAAACGATGTTCGGATAAAAGTTCGAAATATTATTTCAATTTCCGTATTTATTTATAATTTATAAATAACTCTCAGCTATTGAACTGATTTTATATTTTGAAGTCTGCTAACATAATGTACCCATTGATCGATCTCGAACATTAAATTTATGACTGGTATATTTCAATAGAATAATATTATAACAGCTGTATAATATGTGGGTATTATTTGTGCATACACTTGCATGTTACAACGAAATATGTAATAACCAATCATACGACTAATTAGTATACCCAAGTTTTTATACTGATTCAAATCGTACTCAATTACTTGAGTCTTCTTTCGGTTCTCCCGAGGACTTAGTTTAGCCTTTAGCCAAGTAGTGCTACATAATATATGTCTGTACAACTGTACATTGCACCTATACATGTGAAATGTGCATAGTATACATACACTCTACACATATATCTACTATACATACACCTACATCCATATATGTGGGCACAAAAACAATCCTTTTGAAGCCATCGTCGATAATCTCTTTTAGAAACGTTATCATAGATCCTCTTTGTCATACTCTATCTCTTTGAACATCGGATAACTGTCTGGCCCCTTCCCCTCCGGCCACGATTTAAACTGAATCCAGGAAAGTGTGAAGCCTTGTAAATGAAAAATTCAATTTGGATGTGCGCAAGGTTTCCATCCCCGCTCCAAAACTGTGTTTTCCTCTCGTTTGGCATTTTCCATTGATCGAACTCACGTCTCGTTAAACCTTTCGGGATTTCCAAGCTAGTGGAGATAATTGGTTAAAATTTCGGTCGTGCGTTAATTAGTGAACCAGAAGGCAGTAGAAATTTTCCGGGGGAAGCGAGAGAGGGGAAAAAAATCTTTATTACGGGTCAAATCTAACTGCCGGGATTGGGTAGTGCAGTGGAAAAAAAACGCATGTTGCTGGAAATTAGAGTGTATATGTCATTTTGACAGTACGAAGGGCATACCGTACATACAAAGCGTTTTATATGTAAAAAGCTGAACTCCGCCCGACTTTTTTAACTCTAAATTATAATTTCTTAAATAAATTTGCTACTACACTCGCCTACTCGTTTATACCCGAATAATATAAACAAGAATTACTTGTATTATATTATTTTATAAATAAAATAAAAAATAAAAACAAAATCCGTCTATTATAAAAACTGCTTTAACTGTTATTATTATCGTGTGAATTGAATTGCAAATTAAATACTTTATACGACATATTAATAATATTATAATTATACCATGGTAAAATATAACTGTCGTCGACAGTTTCAAATGAAATATTGCCATCAACTAGAAACTTAATAGTTTAATTTTATATAATGAATATTTAAAAGCTTCAATACCCACTACAAAACATATTATTATACAAATCGCAAATGCATTTGCTTTTATATTTTTATTACGTTTTCAATTTACAACACGAAATGCGTTTGAACGAAATGCATATATTTGCACTGAACACCACGCTTGTACTCGGAACAGGAGAATATAATATTTATATTGTGTATACAGCGCGGGTAACGCGTCTAGTCAAAGAAACGTCCACCGCCGAGTGTGTGCACAAATAAAACTACTGACCTTTTTGAAGTATCCTCCATGCAGCCTCATGTGTCCATTTAGAGCTGGTACGTTTTTAAACTTTCGATGGCACAGGTTACATTCCACGGGCTTTTGTTCCGGCTTGGGTTGCACTGCAACGGCAGCGGGCTGTGAGTGCTGTTGTTTGTTGTTTGCCGAGTCTGTTGCGCCGTTCGTGGCCTAAAAGGAAAATGCATATATTATTATTATTGTGATATTATTAATCAACCAGAGTATACGTCACGTCTCGTTTGTTTATCATAAAACGCACCCAACGTTATATTATTGACCAAAAAATTAGCGAAAAAACAAAAGCGAAGGAATCGTAGCTCATTTTGGTAACGATGTGTATAGGCAAAATATATACAAGCAATATTTGTTTTTGTATCATTCGACATTTTAGGCATAAACGTGTGATTGGATTATATTATTAAATTTTCCACTATTTTAATATAATATGATTATTGTATCTAATAGTTTTTTGTTTTTCAATTCTTCAACTAATTAAATTAGACCTACATTTTTTTTTCCAGATAAACATAATATTTCTAAACAAGAGTGAATGAAAATTTTTAATTTCATAAATTAATATTTAATATGATGTACATGATATTGTATTATTGTACTATTATCGTTCATAATATAAACCAACAACGTGTTTAATGCAAATAAAAAACCCCTACACATTATAATGTTTAAATATAGCGATTAGAAGAGTTCTGTATTAAAATATTTTTAGATAATTAGTTGTTAATAATAATATGATTGATTCATATTAATTATGAGCGGAATAATAGGTAATGTCCTTAAAGGTAATGTTGCAAATGAAAAGTAATCGAAAAAGTTAAATTGACGAAACGAAAGACAATTTTTTATTATTTTTGTTACATGTATATAATATTATAATATATAGTAATAACATGTTTGTGAAAGTATGTACCTACCTATAGTAATTATTTTCCTACCTCGTGTAATTTTTACAAAAGAACAGTTTTTATTCACAGTTCTTTTTTTCAAACAGTCGGAAAATACCGCACTGAAGAACGGCGCCAACGCCCAACAATGAAAAACGTGTCATTATTTCGCACAAACTATGTATTATAATATAATATTTTGTTCGTTCGCCGAACATAATATAAAAAGCCGCCAAAAAGAAAGGGGAACAAAAAAAAAAAAATGGAAAATGTTCAATCGTCGTCGTCGCGCCTCCATCTCGTTTACGTCGGGGGACGTTTAGTCGTAGAAAATCGTCGGTTGCACAGAGTTTAACCGGAAAACTCCACTCCGCTCTCTACTCTCCCTTTCGAAACGAACGGTGCTGCACCGTCCCGTTTAAATCGAAATTAAATTATTATTATTATTATTATTATTATTATTCCGAAAGCCCGTCGAAAAAACAGCCTCCTCCCTTCGTCATCTCGCACTTACCGCCAATCGCCGCCATCGTCGTCGCCGTCGCCAGAGGTGCGACTAATTGGATTTCGACGACAATGAGTGCGCGAGGTTTTAATTCAATAGTCGCTCGGCGAAAAGCTCTTTTCGCCTGCGCTCGCGTCTCCCGCTCCATATATACACCTAGGTATATACATAGGTATACGCGTATATAATATATACACACTCACACAAATGTATATAGAAATGTATATATACAGAGAGAGAGAGAGAGAGAGAGAGTGAGAGAGAGAGCGAGTGAGAAATGGGTAGATGAAGATTTTCAAAAACGGGCCGAATGTTGTCGCGCGCGGGACGGTGTTAGGACTTATGACTCGCGGGCGGTAGAATAAACGAAACAACTACCACGCTTGTAATACGCTCATCGCACTGCAAATAACGTTTACATATTATTATATTTCATTATGAAGAGTAGACGTTGACGGGGAAAAATAGCAACATAATATAAAACGGCTTAAAAGTGTGCACGCGACATGTAATAAATAAATATCATGTCCACTGCCGAGTGTGCCGGATACAATAAAAACATAACGATCGCGGTACATTAATACTATTCGGTGAATTTTTTTTTTTAAATTTATTACGGTTTGTTCGAGGGATAAGTTTGGGATAAGTTTGGCGATATCATGAAAAATATAATATTACATTTGTCTTTGACCATCGGCCCTTTTGTTGTCGAATAAAATACATCCAAGCATTATTATATACGTCTTGATTAGCTATATAATGGTAATAATATGGTTATTGATATCATTTGACAGACTCGATGTACTAGAAGATAATAATTTATAAACAAATATAAAAACATAAAACCCATTAAATGTTTACTGAAAATAAAATCAATAATTTGTCAGTGTATAAAAAGCCGTAAGTTCTTTTTTTGTCTTTAACTCATTACCAATGTATAACAAATTATGTATAATATACCAAATGGCGATGATAATTATTATTTTTATTATTATTTTAAACTAATATCGAATGGTTTAAATAAATAATAAATTGTGGAGCGCACAAAAAGTATATAGGTACTTTCGTCGTTATGTTAAAATGTTGAGTAAAAAATACAGCACCAAGATGATAATAATAATACGTTTTTATAAAGCAGAAAAGCGTTTCGGTGGAACCTAAAGGTCAATATTTTGTGATAAAATGTTCAGTTACATTTTGGCAATTTAAAAAAGTTAAGTGTAGTATAGTAAGGGTACGTAGTAATTGGACGTAGCTTTGTTTCGTTCGAATGAAACTTTCGTCGGAGAAACTTTTCAAAATTTTGATATGACGAAAAATTACACTTGAAATTTGATTTGTTATCTTAGAGTGAACTGTTATTTTCTTATTACAAGAAACACAGTTGAAACCGCCGTAACATAATTTTTTTCTAAGGGAATAATAAATATTTGTAAAGAAAATAATTTATGTATTACGAATGTGGATAAAATCAAATTTAAATTTCATCGTTATTAGCTTTATAATTTAAATTCCTAAAAAATGTATAATTTCAAGATAAAAACAATAATTTTTGAACGACACGTTTAAATAATATAGGTTAACGTTTTGTAATTTCACATTCGAATGAACCAACTCCGAAAATAGACGGCAAGCTATTGTTATCCAAATTAAAACCATTACAATGGTCGAAAGCAAAATATTACAATCGATTTGAAATTATTATACTTTGATATATTATTTGGTTTAACGGCAAAAATAAATACTCATTACATTGAGGACGAAAAATCTAACAATAATTCATTATTACATTACTCATGCTATTATACTCTTGTAGCAATACAATACAAAAACAAAACAAATGACAATAATTTTGCAGTAAACACATTTGTATAATGACCATGAGGTAATATAAAATAATATGTTCATAGAGGTAATCTACCTGAATTTATTTTTATTTTTTTACATAGCTTATTCGTGAAGCGAATACGTCCTCCAATAAAAAAAAAACGTAAATCAAATAAATATAATGCAACTAATTAACCGCTGTAAATATAGTAACTATTATTATATACGCTAAAAGGAAAAATAATAAGCACAACATTTTGAACAGTGTTCGGCGACATTCTAAATAGTACAACTTTATTGCTTTCAGTGTTTTCATAATAATAATAATAATAATAATAATAATAATAAATAATAACACAATGGTTTTAAGTCGGTACAGAATATGTCCAAGTCTTAATAACTAAAGCGAAATGTCGTGTTCTAATATACAATTTTAGCGCAATCGATCTACAAATAAAAATAGCTATTATAGAACCTAATACAAAATATAATAATATTATATAATATTAACAATAATAATGTCTGCGAGTGAGTGCGTTTGTGTGCTGATGTGTGTTTTTACCTCGGGATACCGGTAGCCGGCATGGTTATAGTCGTAACCGTAACTGTTGTAATTGCAATTATTGTTATTGGTGTAGTAGCTGTACCCGTCGGGATATTGATACGTGATCCACTGGTCCATGCTCAAAACTGAACTAGGTTTCCAGACTACGGTTAAGGTTGTGAAATTTTAATTCACTCCCCCACCTCCTCGCGACGGTTGACGTTTAAAGAGAGAGGGAGGTAAAAAACACCACGAGACGTTGGGAAGACGACGCCCACGCATATGATTAAAAACCCTCCGGGCAACAACCCTATCGTCGAATGGCATATAGGGGTGCGCGGGCGGCGGATCGTGAACAATAAGGGTGCGTTTGATCTACCGAAAGAAGAAATTGGTCTTAAAGCGTTTTTATTTTCATACGCTGAGTAGGTAGGTGGAACGTTTTTTTCTACTTTATTTTTCACTCTCTCCGTTTCGTCGTTACACGGCCACACCCACTCACCCCCATATTATTACTCGTATAGCCACCATGATGATCTAACGAGTACTATAATATAGGTAGAAACGACCTTCCAAAATTTCCCGTCGGCGTATAAATTTCCAACCGTATCTACGCGTGTCGCGCAGAAATTGTAAATTTCGTTTTACAGCCGGACATGGAGGTGGCGGCGGCGCGGCGGCGCGTTAAGATTCATTGGTCGCGTATAGCCGCGGACGTGCCAAATAAATTGCGGTCGGGAAAAAATACCTCCGAGATAGTCGGACGGGGCCAGCACATAACTCAGGCGTGTGGTGTGCTTAACCCGGGTGGCAGAGGGTGAAGAAAGAAAAAAAACAAAACAAAACAAAACTAAACAAAACGACCTCCAATACGCGGGTAATACCTGTCCTATATTATAATAGTAATAACGCAGAAAAAAATCTAAATCTTATTATACGTGAAACAAAAATAATAAGTCGTCGGGTAAATATATATACGCGGGACCCTATTGCACCGGGACACCTATAATACTACTGCTCGGGCAACACTAAAACGATAAATTAAATGCTCTAATATTTTCCCGAGGACTTGAAAAACTCATAGCGAGTGCTATAAAATAAAACACACCAACACAGACGATTGCACACTTTATGTATTATATTTCGAGAAGAGTTCGTATGGTTATAGTTGCAGCGCTCGTTTTCGGTCTGCTGAATTATATGAACTCGCTGATTTATTTCGATATAAACTTTTCACGCTTATATAATAATAATTTCAAATGATAATAATATAGTTTATTAAACATAGTACTTATATATATTATACAATCTACTTGTCGTTGAATTATAATGCCATTAGATAAAATATAGTTAATCATAAATCATCATTCAAATAATTTAAGTGATCATATAATATAATATTATAATTACAGACTCACTACAGTTATTGTAAAAAAAAAACAATGATTATTAGAAATATTATTTTTATTGACAAAAATATAATTTATCAATTTTATGTAGGCACTCATTGACATTTAAACTATATTTTTATTGCGTTTTATATTTGCCTATGAATATTTAAGGTAACGACTAACGATAACTGCAAAAAGGTATTTTCTGTTTGTCTCGTTTTGCAAAATATACCTACCAACGAAGAAAAAAAAAACATTGCAACTTATACGATAGGTAGTAAATTATAATAGTTTTGGTCGCAAATAAAACAAAATCATAAAAAAGTTTACTCTCGCCGTCGAGGGACAGATATTGTGGTGAAGTCACTTTTTAAGTAAAAAGTTTTTTTTTTAAATTTAAAGGTAGTCTTTTTAATATATATGCATACATTAAACATAGTCTAAAAATTCAAAAAACGTACCTACGCCAATGTGTTCAACTTTTGAACACATCTAAAACAGCGAAAGTTTCCAAACGAATATGAAAAAGGTCACAAAGTGCTTAAATATGCTAAATACATTTTTATGTTTTGAATTAAATGTCTATCAAAACATTTTTATTTAAATAACCATGGAAAGAATAACAGTGTAATAATATTAGAGGGAGTCGTTCAGTAACTTGTTCTCTTAAAAATCGACATTGTTTAGAAATAAGTTTCATTCAATCGTTCGAAATATGTGCTTAGCTACTATTTATATTATATATTTGTTAGGATGTAGCTATTGATAAGTTTATGGGAACATTAGTTCCAAAGAAACATAATATACTAGCAATTAGCTAGTTATAGTATTTTTATTCTTGTTTGAAAAATATATCTTTATATTTCTCCTTTTGTGAAATATAAACTCACAAAAAACATGTAATATTGTTTTGTTACGATTTTTAAAAATTGTTGATTTCATCTAGAAAAACATTTCAAGATTTAGAAAAATCGCAAAATTTTCTAATATTCGTCAAACATAAACGGACTAAAATAACTATTTTGTATTTTTTACTTCAGTAGGCCTAACATTTCCCTCAGCCTACAGTATATTATATATTTTTCAATTATATTATAGGTAATAATATAGATAGTGTAATATTTTTAATTAGATTTATCATTCGATATGCATTCGGAAACCATCGAAGTTGTTCAATAGGTAGTGAAAAGAACATAAAACATTGCAGTCTTTGACAACTTGTCGTATAGCAATAATAATGAGATTTTAACCTATCTCTAACGCGCGGGAGAGTCTGTACATTTAAAATCATTTTGTTCGAAAAATCATTACTCTATTTTGTCGTTGCTTTTACGGGTTTCACCTCGAAGCGTCTGCAGTTTTGTATCAACTCCTTGTAATTGACAATACTTATTTTATTATTATTATTATTATTATTACATTATATAGGTACCTACGCGACGTGAGTAGACGGTATACGATCAATCATTGTCGTTGTCTGGTGGCAGTAAATCATATACCTACGTACAGGTATAAGCCGATTAAACTATTAAAGGCATTTTCATGAATCCGGCGGGAAGTATTACCGAAACGCGGCGTCGGCTTATGCGACATTAATTATACATAATATTATATTATACGTCCTATATTATAATGATCACAGGCCACAGAATACGGTTCGTCGTGTACATACCACAACCACGGGTAAATCGCGTCTTCCGTTTCGTGTGACGTTACCGCGTATAAGTACGGTCGAAACGATTTTTATACCATGGTCACGGTTTATTCGATTACTTGGCCGTCTCCATATTCAACCACACCACATGAACACAGACAACCGAAGTGTATAATAATTATAATAATATATTACAGGAATATACTTAACTATACTATTACGTTATAGATCCATTAGCGTTTTGATCTAGGGGAAAATCCTGGTTTTTCAAACATAACTTAACTATGTTCGCCATCGTCAATGCGGTAGAATTAATGCAAAAAGAGTTTTTATCGACAACCATAGTATATGCAGCGGCGATCAAATGCACTTATGGTGCGTTCAATGTTGATAAAAAAATATAATTATCGAATTACAGGCAGCTGGAGTGCAGCCGTGAATTAGCGTAGACACTAGACATATTAGGTACCTACAGAACATATTTTAAGCTTTTGGATTTTTTTTCATCATCATACTGTTCCTTATATTATAATAATCATACAGTTTATTATAATAATATAATATTGTAATTATTTTAGAAGTATTACAAAAATGTGTTTTAATTATTAATATATATTTTTTTTATTACACCTTTCAAGCACACATTTAAAAATATAACTTTTTTGTATTAGTAAAACATGTTTTTCGTTTCTCTGTTGGCAATTAGTTGTAAGAGTAGCGTGTATTATTTATCCCTAATTGTAATAATAACGCAGTTTGTCAATGTCAATATTAGTCACAGTTGAGAAATGTATAATTTTGAACTCATATAATGTAACTGATCTAATTTATCATCAGCGCAAACGACGTGTAATCCTCCATCAATAAATGCATTACTTAGATTGTGGAACACACAATCGCATATACCCCTAGGACTGCTATACAAACACCCTCCGTATTTTTATTTTTTTTTTTATTCACCAGAACCTGAGAATGTTTATCTTTTATTTATAGCGTCGATTTTTCTTCACCACTACTTCTGATATCTACTCCGACACACTCGGATGCTGTTATTGTAGGTCAAAGGAAAAAAAATATACTCAAAATAAACGACCAATGATATATTAACATATTACAGGGACTGCCTCTTTTCTGTAACGCTGATGTGTATGAATGCAAGAGGCTTATGAATGACAATAAAAACTTTTTTTTAAACGAGGCGGCGCGAAAATCCAATAAGGGTCCGACCCCGCCGTGTGTGAATGCTAAACCTTTGACCCAAAGGCGTACATCGGAACCGGTTCGGCCACTCGAAAGTATATATCTGAGCATTATTTTTATTATTACCGACGTGCGTTATACCCATTGGAAAGGTTAACTGTTTCGGTCATTTATCGAATCGTGACCAAAACAATTGGACCGGTTCCATGTGCCATCCGATCCCGGAGAAACGTCTTATTATACACGGATGAAAATATAACGATAATTTTCGAACGTCCGTTCTCAGAGGACATCACCAACAGCAGCTGCTGTCCCTCCGTAAGCGCACCACAATATTGGGATGGTGGTAGACACCTATCTATGAATGCCAAGACGCGACCACGACCCGACGCACTTGAATCTCTATACAATGAGTGCGTATTATCATATACAATATTATATTGTTATTAGGCGATACTCGGGGAGGCGGGTAGGGGGGGTCGGCGATTCCGATTACCTATGCTCCGAGAGACGCACTCTCTAGTATTTTATGATGTGGAAATGTCTTATGTGTTTCCTTCCCCCCCCGTTATCGCTGTGTGTTTGTGTGTGTGTCGGGTATATTAAATCCGTCTAGAAATTCGCGACGTTTTATATAGCTAGGTACATTTTCATTCGGACATTTACAGGCTTAATATACGACATATGGACACGCGTATATTGTTATATAGTGACTTTCCGGGCAAACCGGTATACCTATATACAATCGAAGTCTGATATTTTTTATTTTTCAATAGGATAATATACACTAATGTGTACCTATATGATTTTATTACAATGCGCGTACAAACGGACAGTTGTACGGGGTAGGCATGGATTAGCTGATACCTGTACCCGCGGCGAAACTTTTTGTG